GCTCTAATACCACTGGAGTAGCAGCTTGAAAGGTACCAGTGGTATGGGGGGAGGAACTGAAGTGTCTGGCATCAGGGCAAGAGCTGGGGGACAGCTCTCTCCCAGACAGAAAGGTGGACTGAGGTCATTGTGCTTTTTCTGAGCCCTTCCCCACCAAGCCACTGAACTAGCAGGGAGGAAACATATCTGAGACTCCATCAGCCTGGCTTACGTTACACTGTTTGCCCCACCCTGGCCATTATCTGAGGCTCTGCCACACCCAACTTACAGGCCTGCCTCTAGCCCTATTTGTCTGGCTAAGCAGCCCCAGGCCTGGCACTAGCAGCAGCCAACTTTGGATCACAGTTTGGCTTTGCCTAGGAATCTCCGAGCCCAGCACAAGTAGTAGCCATCTTACATTGCTTTATAGCTCATGTTGGGTGGTTCCAGGAAGAACACAGGTGGTGGCTGACCCTGACCTGCACCACCAGGGTAACATCAGAGCCTGCACACCCAGTGGACAGCTACAAACCACCATTGGAGCAACACTAACCTGCCCCAGCACAGCTGACCTTCATGGAGGGTGGAAGTTGGTGGTCAGTAGTTATAGCCAGTCCTTGAAGCTGACTGACCTGGCTAAATCCCTCCCATTGACCTGCCAACAGCAAACAAGGCTCAACTACAAGAGGAAGGTGTATTCAACACACATGGAAGGCACACGCTGAGCACCCAGTTTGGGTGATAAGTGAGGCTGTGCCACTGGAGCCTACAGGCCATGCTACCAGACAGCGAGTCATAGCAGCTCTACCTAATACACAGAAACAAACACAGGGAGGCTGCCAAAATAAGAAGACAAAGGAACATGGCCCAAATGAAAGAACAGATCAAAACTCCAGAGAAAGAGCTAAATAAAATAGAGACAAGCAATCTATCAGATGCAGAGTTCAAAATATTGGTTATAAGGATGCTTAAAGAAGCATCCTTAGGAAAGGATGTCAAAACTATGAATAATAAAATGTCAATAAACATTCACACGAAAAACAAGGATTCTGTCCATTTTGCTAATTGCTGTACTTCCAGTCCCTAGAAAAGCAATTGTTATATGGCAGGTGCTCAATAAATTTGATAAATGAATAATACGAAACCCTCTAATAAGCCAAGTTTACTTAGTTCCACCTTAAACTGTCAGGTGGAACTGCCTGTAAACTGCCATCTGACCCTAAACTGTCAGATGCTCCAATTTTTTCTAGTCTCAGGGTATCCTGTGCAGAACTATTTACATGAATTTCTCTTTCACCACAAGCCCAATTATACTGTCTCTAAGTTCTGTTTTAGATTTTTTTTAGTAAGTAAAAATAAATCAAGGTGAAAAGGAAATATTCCATTATGAAGAAGAACCAAATACTGACACACTGAAAAAAAAATGGGATGCCAGTTATTTCACAAAGAAGACCACACATTGTTTGTATTTTCTAACTATTAAAAATACTTATGTTCAGAATAATTTTAGTTTTTGATAAGAATAATTTAAAGAAGTCAATGGCTATAAATATCTATTTATGGATAAGTAGTAACTGAACTAAAACTAGTGTAAAAGAAAGTTTTACAAAGCTCCTATTCCTAATGCCTGAAAAATGTAATTCACCCAAGGCATATCTCATTTTTATACTAAATGTCAACAACTACTTCAACCTTTTATAAAACAGATATTAGTAGAATACTTCAAAATTCTGCTAGAGTAATACACACATTATACTAATAATCTCTAGATCAATAGTCCTCAAACTTTTGTGTGTATCAGAATTACCTAAAGGACTTGTTAAAATACAGGTTGCTGAGTTCCATCAATCAGTAGGTTTGGCTGGGGTGGGGACTGAGAATTTATATTTAGACAAGTCCTCAGTGATGCTGATATTGCTGGTTTAGAGACTACACTTTTGAGAACTGCTTCCTGTTCTAGGCAGTTTCTGTGATCTTTCAGTACAGTAAAATTTAGATAACATATTGATGCTTCAGTACTTAACAAAAGGAAAATAATCTGGCTCCTACTGTACCTCACACTACCCGGTTACTTCAACAGACATGATGAGCTGTGACCATGGCGCAGGAAACTGAGTGTTTCAGGTGGATCTGACACACTTGTTTATGGGCAGTACCCATGGAGCTGGGGCGGAGAGAATGGCCTATAGGAACATTGCAACCGCCTATCACTTCTGATTTATTTATTGTTCTCCACGATGCTTGTGAAAAAACAAATATGCTGCATTAACTACACTGTCCATAAATTACAATGGTATCAAGTAGTAGCAACAACATTAATAGTACTCAACATCCAGGTCAAAGTATTTAACAATGGTCAAAAAAGGAAAAGTATGAACAGTTTTCATGGTATGAAAGAGTATGAATCACAAAATTAAATACTGATATGACTGGAATAACCCCCCAAAAGCAGCATCATATAGAAATTCAGAATTTATACTATACAGCTCATGAAATAAAAAAAGTAACTATAATGTACATGCACTCAAGCTTTCAAGGTTGATAAGCAACAATGGAAAACACCTGCTGCACTGGCCCCATTAATTTAGTGGCACATCAGATTGTTAAAGTGGCTTGTGCACAAGCATTTAAAAAGAGAGCCAATCTGTGGCCTGTGTTTATCTGAAAAATAAAGACTTCTGAAAACAGTAAACCTTAGTAGACAATATGTACTTTCTTATAGCAGCTATGGAAAGTACACAGCATTCAAAATTTCAGTGTTTGAGCTTAAGTAAAGTCTCTCGAAACCAAAGCTGAAAAAAATATACTGAAGATTAAAATTCCCTGACCTAAGCCCTGGCCAGGTGGCTCAGCTCATTGGAGTGTCATCCCTTACACCAAAAGGTTGCGGGTTTGATTCCCAGTTGGGGCACGTACGGGAGACAACCGCTTGATGTTTCTCATGTCAATGTTTCTCTTTCTCTCTCCCTTACTCTCTCTAAAAATCAATAAAAAACATACCCTTGGGTGAGAATTAAAAATAGATAAAATAAAATTCTTTGATCTAAAGTATAATTTAATACCTTGTTAAATTAATAACACAAATGAAGTTTGTTTTTATCAATACCATTTCCTTACTGGTACTTAGGATATTGGCAATGAAAAATAAATCACTGTGGTTTGAGTGAAAGATGGGACCACTATTACTGTTTGTGTACACAGTTGCTCTTACCACTGTATATTGACAAATACACAAAGATTTGCGTTTTCAGAAACACCACACTTTCTTAGTTCTTTGTGATGCTCAAGGAAATTTTTGCATTACTGAAGCAAAAGCATTTTAATCATTTTGTACCTGTTGTGAAAGAAAGCTTCAGAGAAACAATTGCCTAAAGATAGCAATAGTAACTATATATCATATTACATCTTCAGAATTTATCTATGGAAACATTTTGAGACCTACTTAATGTAATATGAGTACCTTCGTTTGGCCAGTCAATCAAGATGCAATCCAGAAGTTTTATCAGCAGATGTATTACAATATATTCCCCTGGTCAATTAGCGAATTCTCATCCCAATGTGTGATCCATCAGTCACCTCCTGTACATGTCCCAACTGGGGACTAAACCCACAACCTAGGCATGCACCCTGACCAGAACAGAACCGGCAACCTTTCTGCTTGAGTTTGCAGGGCGACGCCCAACCGAGCCACACTGGTCAGGGAGGATTCTTTTGCTTTTGAAGATACAGTCCATACTCTATCAAAGAAGAGAATATAGATGGTCTCCTGACAAAGAATGACCTGGGGGAAACTCTGGTTGAGTGTCGTATCTGATTACTAAGAAGACAAATATTTCATTGGAAATACATGTTGTTTTGATAATGCTTCTTCATTAAATGCTAATAGCAAGTTACCAACAGAAAGGAAAAAAGGAATAGTAAATTGATAATGCTAAGTTAATGAAACAGGTAATTAACAAATTATTCCAAGTGCCACTATCCATGAGATGAGTCAAGAAAATGGCCTACATTCACTAGCTTAACCCAAAAGTAAATGAATCCAGCATTCAAACACAACATACGTAACACCGTCGAATCTGCTACACCCACAGTTACTGTTGTTGCAAAAAACAAATATAATATCATACAGAAAAAAGGCAGCATTGATGAAAGCCAGATATCAGAAATAACAAAATTAAAGATACTCTTTAAACTGCTCAACTTATATGAAATATACTTGGATCTAAGATAATCTGAATAAAGATATTAGTGAAAATGGTAATTAACACTGGCCCTGTACCTGAATTATTTGATTAATATGACAGCTATGATTCTATAGTTCATACATTTCTAAGTCTCAGTTGAACATTTTTAAAATAAGTGAATTTTCATTTTAAAGTAGCAAATGATTTAGAAAATTCTGCATACAAACCTTAGACAATTATATAAATTTCACACACAAAATTTTATAGACAAAGAACATTGCAATTTAAGTTACAAATACAATGGTTTAATATTCTTCTAGAAAAATTGTACCTTAATATAGAAACTGTCCCACACTCTAATTTCTTAACAAGAGATAGTCTGTAAAGTGGTGTAAACATATTTGTGAAAAAGATGTAAAAATCATGTAAAGAAATAGTAATGTTATGACATACTAGAACACATAGTTTTAGGGATAACTTACACTATTCCTTCAAATAAATTATATATATTATAGTGGAATATTTCATATAATGGTCAATTTAAAATCTCATTTGGTATCAAAAAGTAACACCCAAGAGTCCAGAAAATCTGAAAATTAAAACAACATTCAAATTTTAGAACCAGAAGAACCCACCAGCACACATTAGGCTGTACCACCTGAAAAGAAGACTGCTGACTCCAGTGGTGGCTGTCACAGAGACAACCAATTTTTAAGGGGGAGCCTAACTAAATTTCTTTGAAACCTGGGAAGAGAAAACATTTAGTTGGCTTAAATGAGTGGCTTAAAAGACAACCTACTTCAAACTCAGTACATATTAGCAATACAAGGAGGTTACCTGACTACTAGTTTCACTTATGGCTTCTAGGAGTTTTTCAACTGCTGCTTGTAGTCGAGAGCTAATATTCAGCATGAATTCTTCATTTTCAGGATCTATTTCAATTCCAGCAAAACCACTCCTCATGAGCCGTTGTGACAGCTCTGTTCCTTCCTCAGTTACTTCTGACCACATGCTACTGTCATTTCTTGGCATATCACTTCCAGAGTAAGATGGTATAGATTCACCTGTAACTAGAATAACAGTATTTTAAACGCATAAATCAATTATAATGAGTAATTATAGTAAAAAAGGGTTACAAAATAAAATCAAATTAACACCTGAAATCAATGAAACTACAAAGGCCTTCTAAGAACAATGCAACAAAATAAAATATACAAATACAAATTATAATATTACTTGGTAACCAAAAAGGTAAAAATGAGAAGGATAAATGCTATGCAAATAGGGCTTTGCAGAAATTAGTATTTAGGTTATTTATCACTTTTTTCTTTGATGAAAACTTTTAAAACAACCCTTAACAGATACTTCTTTCGTGCTTACCATATAGGGTTTACTAAATAATGGAGAAAGGTAAGTGACAGGAGCTGGATCCCTTCCTCAAGCAGTTTACATAGTGCATAATGAGAAAATAAACACACTAACCCCCACACGAAAAGAAAACAATATGCAATGGGATGTCACAGACCCATGAAGGACAGGAGTGCTAGACTCTGTCTGGAACAGACCCCTTGGTCTCTGAGCATCGCACTGGGCAGTATCACCTACTCCGGCCGGGGCAGGTGGAAGGACTGAAATCATTTTGCAGCTTGCTACTTTTGTAAGATGTATATGGGAAGAGGTTAGACTAATGAGCAGTTCCAATTTAATTATGGACTTATTTATATACAGCATTCTTATTTCTTATGTAAAGAAAATTGAGAAGATAAGCTTTGGAAGAGTTTAAAGCATAGGTTATTCATGAAGTGCATTATTCATCCAATAGCAACATGCTACAGACCAACAACGAAAATTTCTGAAGAGCAATTACCTATTCCTTTATTATATGGAGTACATACTTATCAGTAACTGTACAAATTAAAAGAACAGGAAACTTTAATTTTGAAAGTATGTGGAATAAATATTCACTTGACATAGTCAGAAGAGTAAGAGCCATTTATTAAAATGTCTTGCTAATGTAGCTTGTGACACAGAGTTACCTTAGGCTCGTGTACTAACAACATCAGACGCAGTTTCAGATGTAAGATCTGAAATCAGCACCATTCAATATTCACTCAGCACCTTTTCTATATAATTCACTGGCTAAAAAGTGCAAAACTGCATTCTAAGAAATTTTAAATGTTTGATATTACACAACTTTATCTAATTTTTGGAGTAACAGTTAATACAATTTTCACTTTGTATTTTTATTCCCAAAATTAAAAAAACAGACACAAACTAGACTGGTATTTAATTATATTATTCCACATATTCAAAATAAAATGTCTTATGGGGTTATTTTATATATACTCATGAGTTCAAATAATCCTGGCATTCCAAGTTAATTCAGATAAAGTACCATACAATGTATATTAAAAAGTTACTGAATCAAATTAAAGTACTCTAGAAAATAAATGATACTTTTGAAGAAGTTATGGAGGCAAGAAACATTACTAGTTTATAATAGGTATTTAAAACAAAAATTATTTATGTTGTATAGCAAGTTTATCTGAGGAATTAAATGCATTCTAGTGACATTTTCTAATGAATACACAAAAGATTTTATTTCTTCTTTGGAACATATTCAAATCATTTTTGTTTATATGTATCTTCAAAATGTTATTAATAAATACATTAAGACATTTTGTTCTATATATCCTCTGTATTTTGTGCTTGAGATTTGTTGCATGTAATACAGAGTGTCTTCAATCTTTTCCCCATCACTGATTCTTTCTCTGTACCCCACCCCCAAAAGAAAAGGCACTCATTGGTTTTTCTCAGCTTTGCCCCCCATCTCAAGGTAAACCTCAACAGACAATGAGAGATGAAACCGGCTCCTACCCCACCCCTATTGGTTTCTGTTCCCACAGCACCAAAGCTGCTCTCTCACAGGGTAACAGTGACCTCCCCGATGTCAAATTCAATGCCATCTTCTCAGTCCTTGTCCTGTTTGACTTTCTACACAAACAACATTATTGAAATCTCTAACTTTTTCAAATGGTTTTGGTCTCCTGGAATATCTGTCTCCTGTCTTACTCTGATATTTTCTTTTCTTCTTCTTTTTTTTTTTTTTTTGCACAGGTTCTTTTGTTAATTTATGATATACACAGGCTCCAACTTTGTTTGTCCTCCTCCTCTCAATAAATATTGCTCCTAAATGTCTACAGGCCCAAATTTCTAAAAGTTGGCTCTTCTCCTCCACATAGCCCATTAACACTTCAGACTCATCATGTTTGTGCTTACACTATATACTTTCTCCTGAGCTTTTAGTAATGACTCTTCTGCCATCTAAAAACTCCGTAAGCTGGAAACCCAGAATCATCTTGTACTACTTTCTTCCTCCCTTGTCTTACACATACAGTCTTCTCCAACCTGTGCTCAATCTTACTCTATCTTATTTCATGTCTTCAACACTTGTCATCTGGGCAATTGAAACAGTGTCCTAATCACCCCCTTCTTCTTCTCCAACCCTTCCTCTGCATTGCTATAGTTTGCTTCTTGATTCACAGATTAGATAGTATCTTTATGCTCAAAAAATTATTTACCTCCCCATTATTAACAGTGAAAACCCGGTTTCCGATGAAATTTAAGCCATTCACAACTTAGTTCCAGCCTGCTTTCCAGCTGCTTTCTTTCAGCTATTTCCCTTACCTCATCCTCACTTCTCCAAATTCTCTCACTCCATAAATCCTTGACTGTCCATTGTATTCAACTATTCCTTTTCCTCAGAGAACAGAGCTGTCCTGTTCTCTGTCTTCATGAAAAAAAAACTGTAGACAAGTGAAATACCAAAGACGCCAACAAGAGTGGGTCTCCTGAAGGCTACGACAATTTCATATCATGTCGATAGAAATCTCAGAATGGTCAGTTTGGTATATAGCAATTAATGGTTACTCAAAAGTTCTTTAGTTATTTACTTTATGGATTGTAAAATGCTCATTCCATACAGATAAGCTTCTCAGGTTAAAGCAGGATGGGTGACATGACAGAGCATTTATTCTCCTGTCCCAATGGCCTTCAGAAGATCTCTAGGGCTCCAACTGGAAACCACCAACTCTAGCCTGACTCTCATACCTGACAGATGGAAGAAATTCAATTAAACCTCTGGAACACTAAGAGGATTGCTCAAGGTCGCAGTAAGCTAGAACAAGAATCAAGGGCCTTCTAGTTACCAATCCAGCATTCCTTTTATAATATCATACTACTACTAAAGAAAGCGGCAGTAGATGAGATTCATTCCTGACTTCCTGAGGGAGAGGTGTGCATTCTCCTGATGAGCCACCACAGTACAGGTGTCCAGGAAATTTTCTTCCAACATATCCTGGGGGAAGAATTTTTTTATGAACTAGTCTAATATTTACTCAAGTTCAAGTGATTTCACGTTGGCTCAAAATGTTCCTTCATTTCATAAACTAGGTTACTCTTAGAAGGAAGCAAACATTAACAAATCAACTATTATTTTTTTGAGAGTTAACAAGTCCATACATGTTTAAAAATCTAAACAAGTTCAGACATGGAGGCTGAAAAAAGATCACAAGTGCTACCTACAACACAAAATCAAATATAAAAACAGAAAAGCAGAAGTTGCTTCATAATCAGGTTAAGAGTAAACTTTTGTTGTAATATTAAATAAGACAAAAGATTTCAAACGTTCATTTTAGTCTGGCAATAATGCATCCATTAAAAATATGATGGAACGTTAAAAATAATTCTTACAATGTGAAACACTGTCAACATTTTAAAGCCAGCATTTTCTTCAAAGTTTATGAGAAAATTCAAGGTGTTAAATTATAAATTCTATTAATTCAACTTTTCCTTTGAGGCAGGTCAGTAAGAAGCTTAGAAAATTCCTTGGCAAGTGGAATGAGGAAACTGAGATACATAGCAGAACAAATTGGCTGAGCAATTTATAGCCAGATAATAAATTGCAAGGTCTTATCTTACACATTCCAGACAGTGCTGGGGCAGACCCACCTCGGTCCCAGTCCTGGTCCCTCTTTGGTTATATTCTTTGAAAGTGAAACAGACTAGGGAATAATCCTGATCCATATTCATTAGCATAATGAAGAACACACCTGGAAAGCTGATGAATATTCTATTAATATCTTCTAAAATTCTTGCCTTTAGAAAACAGATAAAAACACTTAAGACAATGGACCCATTGCATGCTCTCCCTGGAGCATGCCTGTGCCTTCTTTCTTCAGGCATGTATCTGTGCTTTCTTTCTCCTAAGCTCTAAAGGTTACCATGTGGTTTGTGGCCAGGAGAGCAGCAGAGAGCAGCAGCTCTTCCCAGGCTAACCCCCTGTACATGTCTCCAAGGCCCTGACTTTTTTTTGCCTCTGTAACTTAGTCCTGAGTCTATTCAGCCCAAGTGGCTTACTTCTTCTACCTCTGTAACATTCTTTCTAAAAGGCCAATGCAACTCTCTGAGCAGCCTACTCAAGTCTCCTTTTCAAGTGTTTTGTTTTGCATGCTAAATAAATTTCCTCTTGAGTTAGAGTTCTTAGTACTGAGTAGTTTCTTTGCTGAATTCAAGAACTGAGAATTGACAGTCAACATCACTGGTGATACCTTCAAGATGCAAAATGGATCTGATAAGTGATCCCAAGTGATATTAATGATCATCCTAATTTCATTAGTGAGACTAGTATATCATTGTTAAACACAAAAACAAATACTGAGTTAAATGATAAGTGAACATTATAACTCATGACACTAATATAACAGCAAAATTCTTATCTCTGATATTATATTCTATACACTGAACTTCTTAACCATGGATTTAAATTTTTTTCTCTTGTATCTTAATATTATTCCTTCAGAATCAGTTGAGAGTTAAAGAATTAAATTTTTTAAAGGCTTAATGGATTAAAGTACACATAAAGTGGTTTTAAGTAAAATATTAAGTGCTCTGAGTTTATCTAGCCTTGAATTGGACTCAGCACTTCCTTCACTAGACTGAATTGCTACCCAGCAGAGGCATAGCTCTGGCTGGATAGCTCAGTTGCTTGAGCACTGTCCCATACACGAAAAGGTTGAGGCTCTGATTGCTTGGTCAGGGCACAAATGTAAGTTGCTGGTTGAATGCCCACTTGGAGCACATATGGGAGGCAACCAACTGATGTTTCTTTCACATTGATGTTTCTCTTTTTCCCCCTTTCTTCTCTTTCTAAAATCAATAAATATATCCTTTAGCAAGGATTTTTTTAGAAAGCAAAAGGCATAGAAAAATTGTTCAATAAATCTTTGTAGAATTGAACTGCTAAGACTGTGTATAACTGAAAAACTACTGTATTATTGTATATCTTAAAATAGGACACAGACATACTGAATCTATACTGAGGGACTTAGATGTAACCATGCAAGAAAGTAGATCAGATGTCTTTGAAAATTTTCTTTCTCTTAGAAAATAAACATAACCCTCTGTGCTTGCATTAAATTACCAATTTATTCCTTTTTACAACTATGAAAATACTGCCCTAGAAGTGAGTTTGCTATCTTTCAAAATATGGTGTTTGTTAAGCACTTTAGCAACCACTCTGAGAAGGGTCTAAGAGAACTAACAAAAAAGGCACAAAATGTTTTTGTACTCTACAGAACCCCCCTTAGGGTGTCTTTCGAATATAGTTTAGTTTAGGTCTTAGCAGAATAGCAAAATCCCCCATGATGGCTAAGTGAAGCCAGTTTATAAAATAACTTTCTAAAAACACATAATTTGATAAACACTCTTACAATGAAACAAAACAAAAAAAAACTAATTCTTTTACATATATCAAGATTCATTTGCAGGAATAAAATAGCCCTTGATTGAGAGCTTAACCAAAAATTAAGTTAGTTTGAAAAATACACCTAACAAAGTTTGAAAAGAACGAATTTGAAAGAAGTTCTAAAATGCTGTATTTTAGGTATTACTTTGCTAAATTATCTTTGATCTCGACTGAGGTGTTTTTAAATTAATTATACATAAAATTCCAAATCAAGTTTTTTTTCTGCACTTAGAAGCATGCAACTGGCCAACTTCTAATTAGGCAAAGATAAGTGGCACAGGTAATTTCTTCTCATTTCTCCACATAAAACTTAACAAGCAGAATACTCTCAAAAATTGTATAAACTGGAATTTTTTATAATGTCAGCCTCTAGACTCCTGGCCAAGATGGAAGCATAGATAGATACACTTTGCCTCCTCACACAACCAAAAGGACAACAACAAATTTAAAAACAAACAATAACCAGAACTGCCAGAAAATCAATCTGTAAGGAAGTCCCATACCAAGGAGTTAAAGAAGAAATATTCATTTAGACTGGTAGGAGGGGTGGAGATGGGTAGCCAGGAGAGAGGATGCACGGAAAGGTGGCAGCCAAACTGGAGTGGGAGAGGCACTGGCTGGCAGACTGGGCAGTCCCATATTTGTGTGCAGATAAGCTGGGAGGAACAATTGGGTAGTGAGACAGACTGCGTAACCCAGGGTTCCAGTGCAAAGAAATAAAGCCTAAGTACCCCTGGCTGTAAAAACCTATGGGTGTTGTGGTGGTGGGAGAAACTCCCAGCCTCACAGGAGAGTTCCTTGGAGAGAGACCCACAGGGTCCTAGAATGTACACAAATCCATACACCTGGTAATCAGCATCAGAAGGGCCCAATTTGCTTGCTTGTGGGTAGCAGGGGAAGTGACTGAAAGTTGGCCAAGACCCGAGCAAGCAGCACTGTTCCCTCATGGACCCCTCCCTGACATACAGCACCATAATACAATGACCTGGCTTGCCCTGCCCTGGTGAATAACTAAGGCTCTGCCCCTTACATCACAAAAGATGCATCAAGATAAAAAAAATATGTCCCAAATGAAAGAACAGATTAAAACCAAAAACAGAACTAAGCCATGACAAGACAGCCAACCTATCAGATGGACAGTTCAAAACAATGGTAATCAGGATGCTCACAGAAATGGCTGAGTATGGTCACAAAATAGAGAAAAAAGTGAAGGCTATGAAAAGTGAAACAAAGCAAAATATACAGGGAACCAACAGTCAAAGGAAGAACCAGGACTCAAATCAACGATTGAGAGCAGAAGGAAGAAATAAACATTCAACTGAACAGAATGAAGAAACAAGAATTCAGAAAAATGAGGACAGGCTTAGGAACCTCTGAGACAACTTTAAACATTCCAACATCTGAATCATAGGGTGCCAGAAGGAGAAGAGGAAGAACAAGAAATTGAAAACATAACAAAGGAGAACTTCCCCAATTTCACAAAGGAAATAGACTTTCAGTAAGTCTAGGAAGCCCAGAGAGTGACAAAGAGTTTGGACCCAGGGAAACACACCCTAAGGGACATCATAATTACATTACCCAAGATTAAAGATGAAGAGAGAATCCTAAAAGCAGCAAGAAAAAAGGAGACAGTTACCTACAAAGGAGTTCCCATAGACTATCAGCTGATTTCTCAAAAGAAACCTTACATGCAAGAATGGGCTGGAAAGAAGTATTCAAAGTGATGAAAGGCAAGGACCTACATTCTACATCTGTCCAGCAAAGCTATCATTTAGAATGGGAGGGCAGATAAACTGCTTCCCAGATAAGGTCAAGTTAAAGGAGTTCATCACCACCAATCCCTTATTAAATGAAATGTTAAAGGGACTTATCTAAAAGAAGAAGACAACCAAAAATATAAACAGTAAAATGACAACAAACTCGTAACTATCAACAACCGAACCTAAAAACAAAAGCAAACTAGGGAAACAACTGGAACAGGAACAGATTCGCAGAAATGGAGATGACATGGAGACCAGTGAGGAGGTAGGGGAAGAAAGGGTGAAAAGGTACAAGGAGGAAGCAGCATAAATAGTAGGTACAAAATAGAGGGAGGTTAAGAATAGTACAGGAAATGGAGAAGCCAAAGAACTTATATGTATAACTCATAGATGTGAACTAAGGAGGGCAATACTGGAGGGTGGGGTGGGGGGCAAGGCAGTGGGGAGAAAAAACTGGGACAGCTGTAATAATATAATCAATAAAATAAATTAGAAAAGAAGAAAAGTATGTCAGCCTTGAACTGGGTAGATATGTTTGGGTGTGGAATGGTAGAGAAGTGTAGGCTTGATCTTCCGATCCAAAAGCCAGACCCTCTTTTACTCCATGTGACAAATATTTTCTCTTTTGATTTCCTGATTCATATTCCAGTAAGAGAAAGGAATTAAAAAACTGGAGAGATTGGAGGTCAGCAACATGAAAGTAAGAAATTCAAAGAACAGCCCAGCCCTCACGGCAGAACAACAACAGGAAGGCAGGTATGTCACATCAGGACCCAATTTCTGGATGCACACCCCTTCCGCCATACCTCACACCACTTTTCTAAAAGGAAGAAGGACATACAGCAGAGGTTAGTTCAAAGATAAATTCATACCTTACATTTATTTTCAAGACTTTCTTCTAACTATCTCAACAGACATGTGAAACTGCTGTTCGATTCTTTTTTTAAATATATTTTATTGATTATGCTATTACAGTTGTCCCATTTTTCCCCCTTTAGTCCCCTCCACCCTGCACTGCTGTTCAATTCTTAAAAGCTCTTTATTTTTAGTCTTCCTTCATTGATAAGGTGCTTGCAGGACATTGCCTATTGGTAAATCATGAGTGGTGATACAAAATTTTTCCTTTATTGGACAAGAAATTAAACAGCTTCTGATTTATATAGCACATTAGTAATCCTGAGTATATAATGACAACTCGAAGATACCCACTTGCAAATGCTATATAATAATGGTGTTTTGAGAAGAGTGCACCTAATGAATTTGTATTTGGAGGTGTTTCTGTGGGAAAATAATATTTTCTGTACTTTAATAAGTAGCAAAGTGGCTTATATTCCAAAATTTACTGAAGATGGTTATAGTTTCAACAGAATATAAAACTAGTACCTCCTGTGTGTTCCTCATGGACACACGACTTTATAGGTGCCTCTGCTTCTGACCTCCAAATCAAGCAGGCAGATGACTGGCCTTTACTTGATCTATCTAGAATACCAAGGACATGGCGACCAATTGTTTCTTCGACAGCTGCTGTTGTCTTTACAACTTCTAAGAGGATCTTCAGAAGTCTGTTATTAGCTTTCTGGAGTGCATACCTATAGAGATAAAGAAACATTTATTAAAATCTTTAATCTTTTAAAAAGCAAATACTTTGCTTATGTCGCACAAAAAATGTACTACAAAATATTTGACTTGAAAAATAAAGCATCATATGATCCTCTCTATTAAAATAATATGATATAGCATCTATAATGAAGTGTTTTTTTGTTTTTTATTTTATAAATTTAAAACTTTCAAGATTAAAAAAAAATTAAGGACACAAAAATATTAAGTTTTAAAAAGCATGGTGGTAACCCAACCCAAGCATATGTGAGTTACTGAGCTGGTAATACCATTCATGGTTATTCATATATGTTGTACACTTAATTTTATTGTATCAAAGATTTTATTTTAAAATATAATTTAAAAACTCCACCAGGAAAAAAATGTGTATTTGTATAACTTACTGGTGATGATCTATATAATTAAACTACAATTGGCAGAGACCTATTTTTCAAAAGGTCTATTATGCAATTTCACTATCTGCTAACACCAGAGGGAATATTGTAGGTTGTTATATCTGTTCCAGAGACAGAAATTTCTCAAGTTACATATACCACCCTGATTTCAACAAGTAGAAGGAACCTATTTTCAACCAAATGAAATTAAGGTGTACTTCTCTTTTTTAAAAGACAAGTTAACAATTCTTTATTTAAAAAATTAGAAAATACTGCTAACCACCCACCAAAACATCTCAGCACTTAGAGGTAACCACTATTAACATTTTAATGCTTATCCTTCTAGACTATTCCCCACATCTCTCTCATAAATATATATATAATATGTATATATATATAAATAAAGTGGGATTATCCTGCGATTAGCTTACAAACCATTCTCGTAAGCTTTTTATTCTGCTTAACACAAGCATCTCTCCATGTCAAGAAATATAATTCCATAAATGGTGATTCAGAAGATGATCTGATCAATCTTCTGAATAAACAATTTTCTTGTTCTAACAACTTAATTCAACGAAAATATTACAGTGGCAAACCTGATACTTAATACATGCAGACAGAATAAGAGACTTTCATGGTAAAGGTCCTTTGCCTTAAGACAGCTTTCCCTCCCACAGTGTGGGAGATCACTCACAGTCAGGTTAAAGGATATCTCTTTTCACAAGCACATGACGTAACTATTTTAAGACAAGGTAATAAATGCAGAATTTTTCCTTCAGTATTTGTCAAGAGAAAGAGGCAGTTCTATTTTTGCACCTAGATCAACTTCTCCGCTTACATAAGGATACTAAAAATAAAACTCTAAATAATTTAGTTAGTGGAAAGTAAGTCAAAGGTTTTAATTCTTTAACTTTTCCTGAGATTTTGTTCAAGCCCTAAACACACCAGGACTAGAATATTTTGAAAACAGAAATTCTACATAAGAAAACTAATTAAAATTAATATGACGGTAAAAAGAAATATGAATACTAATTTATCAGCACTCATTGAAAAGTCCTAATAATTAAACACTGCATAATTTTAAAAATATACTTGAGATAAAAAGAATTTATCTAAATTACCAAATAAACATTTATTTTATAATTATAAAATAAACATTTTGTTTATTTTATATTGATATGTTAACTCTAATTCTCATACACTGTCTTTCTTGTTTGAGTTCCATACTGACTGTGTTCCATACTGATGATCCAATGGGGAAGCCAAAATCTTAGGGGCCAAATTCCTCCATGCAAGCTGAGGAAGGAGGTTAGGAGGACAGAAGGTTGACAATCACAGAAATTGGAAAAGGAGGAAATTAAGTTAGTAGATATTAGTTTTAATTTAAAATTAAAGAAACTATTTTCACTTGAGCAGACAAAATTTAAAATATTGTGCTTAAAGTCCTTAATATTAATGTGGGATAACTATTCTCATTTATATTTTACATTTTTATACTAATATCTACAAAATCAAAGTAAGGAAAAGTTTTGTTAACATCAAATCATTAATTTATTCCTCTGTAAAACTGCTATATGGATTAAAAGTTCTCATCTGTTATGCAGTAAATGTATGAAAGTGACACGTGGACTATGACACATAGTTTTCTGTCCTCATCATGAACAAACCAGAGGGAAGCTTATACTGAATGCATGACCTCCCAGTGACAGAATAAACCCACAAATACAATTTTGTTTTTTAGTATAAAAATGCTGTATGAGCAAACTAAAACTAGTCCAGAAAGGTTCAACAACCAAATGATGCCTTAAATTTACTGAGTTAAGTATTTGATCAGTATTTGTTAAAAATTACTTTACATACAAAAGCTTAAGTAATTGTTTGTTGATTTAAATGACCAAAATCTGTTACTCTTTACATACAGAATATAATGTACAAATAAAAGAAATGTAGAAGATAAAAATAAGAATTGTATTGAAACAAATACATATCCTGTATACCTTTCATTAGACAGAACATCAGGAGGCACATCTTCAAGTTTTCTGTCCAATTCCTTTTCTTTAAAGATCTGTTCCTCAGCGTCCTCTTGGTTTTCATCTTCATCCTGTGTAAGTTTGTGTAAAGGTAGAGAAGACAAGACAGAAAGAAAACCTGTCATCTTGGAAATAGCTTGTCGAATATTCCTTTCTATTTGTTATGAGGTGAAACAGAAACCTCTGCATGCAGAATAGCTACTGTATAAAATAATATTTAACTATATTTTTCAAGAGATTAGCATTATCAAAAGAAGATAAAAGACTCTAGATTACAGTCGAAAAGCTTGTAATGGGTTCAAGCTAATGCATGCTATAGAGGGACAATAAAGTGTGTTAGGTTGCTCCTGGTGAGACAGCAGTTGCAAACCTAGCAATGTCAAGATTCAAATTACCTTAAATGGAATGTAAGGCATCTTGACTCCACCTACCTTACATGTAAGCAATCACAAATATTTTAAATGCAACACCTATAAACACATTTCACACCAACAATGAAGACAAACAGATCCTACTGCATTGTGGATCCACTGTTCCTAGGTGGGGCAAAGTCCATACTACCTGTGTTTGCGTACTGCTGTTGTGCAGCTCACAACACAGCTTCTCTCTTCCAGCTAGAGACAGCTGCTTTAGTGCTTCCAGCTCCTCTAAAAGCACCCTCTCTCTCTCTGAAACCAGGTTTTCATTATCTATTGAGGATCTCTAAATAAGAAAAAAGGTCATGAGAGAATATTGTTTGCGAAAGAAGACACAGGCAGAAATATTAAGCAGATTTCTTTTAACCCCCTGGGACCAACAGACCCTAGTTCTACCTATGATTCGTATCCCATGATAAGGGGTTAAAAGCATATATAAAGTTCAATGCAAAATTTGAAAAAAAAAAAACCAAAAAAGATAATTAAGTCTATATATTAGAAATCTGTGCAACTCAAAGGATATTATTTTATATGCCAATTTTGCATTGAAAATTCAGAATGTTAAATTCACAAAATGCGATGAAGAAAAGCAAAATTGATTTTTCCAAATATTCTCAACTCACTCCCAATTTCCTATTATTTTATATATGAAAGAACATATTTCAAGAGTTCTCTATTTTTCATTTCTCTTTTTAGCTTAAGTTTCCAAAAACTAAATAAAAGTTTTAATAAGAACTTCTATATAAATATTTCTTGCTTTTCTGCAATGATTTTGTGAGTACATTATATACAGCAATTGATAAGAATCCAGCTCCCAAATACCAAGGAGTATATAAATTTAGCCAAGAAAGGGATAAGAACGTTATAGAAATGTGCATTTCTCAAATCAAGAAGAGATGTTTCCCTGGACAAAGAAGATCCAGAAACACACTACTTCAGATTTCCATTCTTGATTTAAAAGACAGATTAAGGACAGATAAAGGTAAACCTTGGAGATGCTAACTGGTGGACTTACAAAACTATAAATATGGGAAAACTGAATATTAATTGCACTTCAGCACAAAAATTTTCCAAAACTGTCAAACAGTTTTGCCACATATGGTCAATAGAATGACTATAAAAACCAAACAATCTTGCAGTCCCTTTTCCAGTGCCTGCAAAGAAAGATAAATAAAATGGTAGAGTACAATGCACTACAACGAGTCAGATTTCTCTAGTAAGACCTAACACTGGCGTGCACATGGAACCTATTCCTGATGTTAAATATTTGTATTAATTCAGATTTTGTCAATAATTTTGATTTTTGTTTAAAAAGTTATATAAAGAACACTACTATTTTAATTGGGGAGAAAAGGGACTCTAAGTCCCATACCTGGGCTAATTGTCTATTCAGTCTCGTAATCTCTTCTTGTAGCTGTTCCTGGTCTTCTCGTTGTCTCTCCATCTGGCGCATGTGTGCCTGCCTTAACAGTTCTGTTGCCTGCTGATGTTCTTGGTACTGGCGTACAAGTTCCTGCCTCATATCTTCCAGTTGTTCTTCATTTAACATTAACTGCCTAGAAGCATCCATGCTTGACACCAAAATCTCATCATGGATCTAGAATAGTTAAAAGAAATTCAACCATAACACATTTTGTATAAATCTGTTAGAATCAATGTTTAAAATAAATATGAAAGCAAGTCCACTATTAATTTCACAAAGCATCTGATATTTTATATAAATAACCATGTAAATAATTTTTAAGAGATGTTTGTCTTAATTATAATTCTTAACACAGATTATCATTATAACATGTTATTCTCCAAAAGCAAAAGAGTAATTTATCAGTTAGTTTAGATGTAATCTAAGGGAAAAGAATACAAAAGGATACTTAAGATTCCTTCTACTCTTACTGAAGCTAAAACTCCATTATTCCTCTTGACATTTGATAGTGGGGAAATAATATAGATATAATACTTTGTATTTTAAAATTTATAAAACCCAAGGAATTTTACCTATTCAATTTATATCATGCAGTGATCACAGTACTACAGAGGACAACTTGATAAGAAACAGTGCCCAATAAATTTTATTTGGAAATAAGTTTTATATTTCACTTTCTCATACTCATAAAAAGTCAACTCCCTAATCGGTCTCTACAAGTACTTCAATTCCTGAAGAGCTACTACTTAAACAAATCATTCTGATTTATTCTGCTTTAAATAGTTACTGGTAAATTAAAGAGTTTTATACTATGTAAAGAGCTGATAATTTTATTTGAATGCCACTAAAAAGATGTAACCTATCCTAAACATTAATAAAAAAAATTGAATTTAGATAATTTAAAAGAGGTAGAATTTATTTTCTGTTAAAGGCACAGTTGATATAGACACAAAATTAATTCTCCATTAATAAATAAGTAAAGAAAAAGAATTAGTAAATACAGACTAGAATGCTTTAAATTGTTTTCTTAGTAGGTAGCTATTTTCTTGTGATAGTATCATTATTAAATAAAGTAAATCTTTTATTCATACATATTGTCAAACTGTAGTATGCTTAACTGACTAAAACAAAATTAATATAGGTGTAACTTAGTAAGATTTTACCATGAATAATGTAAGACAAATAAAAATACCACGAACCAGACTTGTTTTATTTAATAATAATATCAAGTCATTCATATACCTCACAAATAATAAAACACATTCATAATGTGAAGCATAAGTCAAGAGTGGATTTGATTCTTTCCTTCTTCATTAGGAAACATCACTGCTAATATTTGTACAGTGAAGGAAGTCACAATTTTATATATTATTATATTCAAGGAGGCATACTTACAGATTCTCTGGCTCCAAATGTTTTATCTTTGGAGAACAGTTCTTCTGAAATAGTCAGTTCATGGTCCTTTGATTCGAGTATATCAAGATTATCACTGTTTGGTAAAAGGACTTCCTTCCCATCTTCTCCTAACTCCTTACTAAGTGGTTTAAATTCTTCTTTAAATTTCATGTCTGTAGTCTCGAAAGTCTGAAAACCAACAGGACCCTGGGGTAAGTTCCTTTCATTTAAATGTTGTTGTTCTGGTAGACAGAGAGCATGTGCTTGTTTTGATGATATAGTATCTTCTTTTTCTCCAGATAGTCTAGATAGTTCAGTTTGTTGAGCAAATGATACACTCATTGACACAATGACCTACAGAATAAGGTAAATAAAAAAGGATTAGATTTATAAATACCAGCAAGAATTAAAAAGCACTTGCCACTCAAAATTACATTAATTAGAAATAGGCATGGCTTTGTGGTTTTAAACTAAAATACTGTGATAAAGTGATATGAAGATAAAGATTTCCTATTTTACAATGAATCTAAAGTAAAAGTATTATATTACTGGCCTTTTTAAATAAAGTTTTAAAATTCTTACTGTGGCAGCAATGAATGTTCAGTACAGAAATCAGAAAGAAGGAAATAAAAGTCCTTATATTTCTCTCTTCCAAAAAAATCACAACTAACACTTCAGTAATACTTTTCCAAGTCTTCCTCTCTTTTGATATCAATATAGATATGAAAAGATAGAATATTTTTCTTTAAAAATGTGTATTATAATTTGCTTTTACAGCTTAACTATAGAGTATATTTTCAAATTAAAAATATATTTCTATATAATTTTTGATAAGTTTCAAGTCTCAGGTTATACAAATGTATTATAAATTTATTCAATCAATTTTCTGTGTTGGGCACTTCGACTGATTTAATTCTTACACTATTTCAAACACCACTGTGTTAAAATCTTTGTAACTATATCATTATGAAAATCCTTTCTTATTTCCTTACAATTCCCAGAAGTGAAGTACTTGGTTTGGGTAATTGGTAAGTATGATTCTGTAATTTAATTTCATTTTCCACTCCAATTATGATCCTACATCCCTACTTATTTTTGGCCCATCCAGCACAGGTAGTTAGACATTCTGACCAGCAGCCTTGGTTCTGAAAAATCCAAGCCTTTGAGAACCAAACGTATCAATAACTTTATTTCAAGTCCTATCTCCATAGATTATTTGCAATGGGGGATGCCTGGTTGCCATAGTCTAAGATAAAGTATGCCTGGCCTTTGAAACCTTTGTGCCTATTGACCTTCAATCAACTCTTTCCCTGTTGGTCCATGTGGTATAAATGGACTACTGCTTTAATGTCCCATCTTAAACCTGATGTGTCTATTGGGGGTTCCTGATTCCCACCTGGTTCCTGCTAGCCTTCTTACTCCCAGGTGCTGTCTCCTCTAGGTGCTGCATGGAGCCCTGCTTCAGTGGAACAATACTGATGATAACATGAACAACAACAATGAATGCTGTGGCCACCAACTACTAAATCCTTCTATTATTTCTATTGTTTTCTTTAATCCTCATTATAGGAAATTCATTTATCATAATGAAAGAATTCATTATCTTTCATTTATATATTTATGCTAATTTTATTTATTTTTATTAGGTAGGTACTATTGTATTATTACCCCAATTTAATGAGAAAATTATGAAGTGAGATGAAGTAATTTGACCCCCAAAACACAAAGCAACTAAATGGTGAAAGTTGGGGTTCAAAATCCTGTAGTCTTATGTAAGCTTCACCTCCTAAAATGTGGTATTACACTATTGCCCTTCACATCTGAACAAATCTTCCTAGAGGTATAATGGTGCAACAGAATTAGGAAGAATAATTATATTGCCAATAGTCAATCCTGAGAAAATGGAAATGTAGCAACATTAGGAGCCATGTTAAGTGTCTAATCTAAACAATGTTATAGCAGTGATTTGAATGAAGGTGTGTCCAGCTATACAGTTCAAACACCTTAAACACTATACATAATATGCTTCCACTCAGGCGACACCACTACTAGATCTCATCTACCAAAATGGACTTCATGAAGGCCTATGCCAGCTCCCACAGAATCAGAGTTTGGTAATAATGTTCTAGACACTGTCATATGGGAAATATGCCCATTAAGCAAAATGTCAAAAAACAGACATGACAAATTAGTGAACCAAGTAATACAGCTTGGTAAAACGTATCTTCAAGAAATGACACTCAGAGGTGAGACCTCTGGAGCATGTCTCCCTCAGAGACTCCAGTATGGTGTTCAGGCAGGTGGAACTACAAAGCTACGGTGAGGTGTGGAGCTCACCCTTACCCTCAGCTAAGGACTCTCTTGATCTGTTTTCTCAAGTCCTGCTGGCCCCACTCTGCTGAGCTTGCTCCTGTGGTGAAAATGGGCTGCATCCAAACTGAGCCAGTGGTGTGCTCCTCCTGGGAGAGCTGCAGTTGGAGACTGTAGCAGAGACTGAGTGATATGGCTCTGAGGTAGAGGCCACACTCTCTCCACTGAGTGCCTGACCATGCTATCCACAAGAAGGGGAGCCATTTGCCCCATCCTCACAACCCAGTTGCACTGCCCTAACAAGCTTATGCCATGTGGAAGGGGGCTGGCAGGGGGGGCCAGCTTGGGTCCACTATACAGTTCTTGAAAAGGCTATGGAGGAGGCCAGCCAACCTTAGAAGCTGGCAAAGCAGTGGACAGGTGGATGCCAACCTCAGAGCCTTGGACCTTTTAATAACCTCCCCCTACCTTAGAGCTGAAGAAAGCCAGCCCTCCCACGCTCAGTCAGCCCCAGTAGACACAGACACAATCAGTGAATAGCATGGTAATTCCAGACGGGCAGCACAAGGCCAGTTACACACAATGCCTGACACCGACCTGCACCAGAAACCCATATAAAGTGGGCCCAGAACCAACACAACCAGTGGTGGGCTTCAAATCTCAGCAGAGCTAAACCTAACTAGCCACACAGAGGCACAGCCAAAGGGAGACTCTGGCAAGCAACAGATCCTGCTGGAAAAAACGTCACCTCATTGAGCAGCCTCTGAACATACACAATGAACAAGATCTATCCTTAGAGTCAGCCAGCCTGAGGGTTAACAGCCCCACAAATGGGTCAACAGGATTTAAGACTCAACTACAACATCAGGGGCCACATAACTCACCCAAGAAACATTTCTGGAGAAACTAGCTCAGGTGATAACAAACTACCTACACCATAAGGCCCTGATTACAAGCCTGGGAATCATAGCAGACCTACCTAATACATAGAGACAAACCCAAAAAGCCAGACAAAATGGGGACACAAAGACATATGTCCCAAATGAAAGAACAGAGAAATCCTCAGAAGAATAAAATGAAATGGAAGCAACCAAGATACAGATGAAGCATTTAAAACAATGGTTATCTATCTTGAGTAAGTCATAACACCATAAAGTCCTAGAGCAAAACCTAGGCAGAAAAATTTCAGATATCCCATACAGCAATATTTTTGCTGATATGTCTCCTAGAGCAAAGGATATAAAGGAAAGAATAAACAAATAGGAGGTTTGTCATTTCCACCAGGCAAGGGAGCAGTAGGACTCAGCTAGTGAATGATAACACTCCCCTCTGGTGGCTGACGTAGGCTAGAACCCTAGTAGTGCAGGTACTCTGGAGCAGGGAGCTTTGGGGCTCTGCACAATGCATAGTTTTTCCACTAATTCCACAGAAACCATAAAATCAAGCAACGGAAAGAATTCCCAAGAAAGCATTTGGGCCAGGAAGAAACATAATAGAAAAGTTCCATTTTTTCAGTGTTTGAAATATTTTTTTATTCCCAGACAGTAAGCCAAATTTCTGAATAGTTCAGAACACACTAAAGAAGCCCAGACTTTTAAGGGTATTTTATAACTCTGCTTTTTATAAACAGAACATTTAAGCCATTGTTATCTCTGTTACTGAGGGTTACTGTTGACTGAAATTGTTACTGAAATACTCTAAAAGGAATGAAAGTTTGTGCTTCTTGTGCATTAAGTAAATGCCAGTTTTTATATTTCATTATTCAGTCTCTGAACAATATATATATTTCAGAACTTAAGTTTCTGTGAACCAGAAACCTGGCTTCTGCACTCATCCACATATCCCATGAGAACAATGTGTTTGAACTTCCTGTGTAGCTGACCTTAACTGAGGAAAAAACCAAAAAGTCCAACCAAGGTAATTGGTCTCACTTTAAATTCATAACCCCCATCCTTGAAATGGGCCCTCAGCAACACTGGGCGAGTCTACTGAATGTCTGTTGTCCCTTCTGGTCAAGATGGCGTCATGGGCAGATATGGCTTCCCGCTTTGCACAACCACATCAAAATTACAACTAAAATATAGAACAGTCATCACTCAGAACTGTCAGAAATTGAGTTGAATGGAAGTCTGACAACCATGGAATTAAAGACACCACACCCATCCAGACTGGTAGGAGGGGCAGATGTGGCATGGGCTGGTCCTACACCTTCATGTAGTGTACAGAAATTTGGGAAGAATATCTTGGGAGTGAGGAATCCCAGCCCCACACCAGGACCCAAGCCCAGGAAAATAAGTCCCCACAATTTGGCCGCAAAATCCAGCGGGGATTGAGTCTGTAAAAGAAAATTCTGAAGCCCCAAGCAGTTCCTCTTAAAGAACCCACACATGGACTCATCCGCTCAGGCTCACGCCCTCTGAGCTCCAGCACTGGGGTAGCAGCATGAAAGGCACCAGTGGCACACTGACAGAAACTGAAGTGTCTGGCTTCAAGGTGAGCAGAGGCCACTGACCCTTTTCTAAACTCTCCCCCCAAAGAGCCACAGAACTGGCAAGCTGGTGCCATATCTGGACTCCATCAAACCAGCTAACACTGTTTGACCATTCTCAAGATCCCCAAGACTCTATCCCATCCAACCTTATGGGCCACACAAGCTCCTTTTCCATATGAATGGCAGGTCTTGGCTTATGCTTCACAAGTTCCTAAATACTCTCAAACAAGCAAGAGTTGGCCTCAGTGAGCCCCAGGTCCAGCACTAGCAGCAGCCAGCCTAGATTCACAGCTTGGCTTCACCTGGGAATCTCTAAGCCCAGGACAAATAGCAGCCATCTCAGATTGCTTCACAGCTCAGGCAGAGTGGCCCTGGGCAAAACACAGGTTGGTGCTGATCTTGGCCTGCACTATCTGGGAAACCCCAGGACCAGCACACCCAGTGGACAGCTACAGATGACATCGAACTACCATCACCCTGGCCCTGCACAACCTCCATGGAAGGAGGAGGTTCATGCTCAGTGGTCAGAGCCAATCCTTGCAGCTGACTGGCC